GGATAGGCCAACTTATTTGAACTGGCAGAATGAAAGGAATCCTATTCAACTAGGGGAACAAGTCTTTCCTTTCCTTCTCCAAGTGTGAAATATATTAAAAGTTGTGCAAAACTTTTGGAGAACCTGCTTTGTGTCCACTGACAATCACTGGGTTTCCTTTTCTACTTAAAAGGAAAATGTGTTTCTTTTGAACAAACTGTTTCCTCCAGTTGCTATGTTCCTATTACAGCATAAATATTTATTATCTACTAAATATTTGCATTTATATATAAAGAGCTCATTTTTATCTTGTTATTTCTTATACAGTATTACTGCATTGCAAAAAAAGCCATAAAATTTATGAACCAGTGTCCTTAAAAAAAAAAAAAAAAACCTTGGTGATTTAATAAGCCGCATTAAAGTATCTCCCATGTCCTTCATGATGTACAACTCATTATCTTAAGTTTTATATCAAGGTTGTTGTTTTTTTTTATCCAATCCTTCCAGGATTCATTTTAAAGGTGTCCTGGTTTAGTGCACCTTGCTTTGTTCTATTACTGTTTTTCACAGTCTTTGTAAGGTTCAGTCCTTCTTCAGTTATCTGATAATTTAGACCCTGGTCCCTGAAACTACAACTCTCTGTCCACCTTGTTTCTGTAGCCACACATATACTTGCAATATGTTTGTTTTGTAGCTACTTCACTTCCATGAACTAGGACAGTGATGGCTAACCTTTTTGCCGTCGTGTGCCAAAAGTGGGGGAGCGCGGGGGGTTGCACCGTATGTGCCCACACCCATAATTCAATGCTCCCCACCCCCCTCCCGCACATGTACGTACAACCACCCCATGCTCCCCACGCTTTTGGCACGCGATGGCATGGTGGGCCTGGTAGGCCTGTTTTTTGCTCTCCCCAGTCTCCAGAGCCTTTCTAGAAGCCTGGGGAAAACAGCCTCCCCTCCCCTCCAGAGGATGGAAATGGCCCGTTTGCCTAACTTCTGGTGGGTCTGGAAGGCCCAAGAATCAGCTGGCCGGCGCACACATGCATGCCAGAGCTGAGCTAGGGCAACGCTCACGTGCCCACTGATATGGCTCGGTGTGCCATCTGCCGCACATGTGCCATAGGTTCGTCATCACGGAACTAGGAGAATGGATGGGTTTTTAGGGCCTTGACTTTCCTTCTTAGATCTTTAAAACCCATAGAGCAGTAGTGGGATTCAGCTGGTTCACACCAGTTCAGGCGCAAGGAAAGGAAAAGGCCATTTTCTCTCTTTCTTCTCCCTGCTCCTCCTCCTTCCCTCATGCTAGCCGCTCCATTGCCATTTCTCCATTGCAGCACAGCGCCCAGGATCCACTTTGATAGCAGGGGGAGGGAATTTAACAACCGGTTCGCCCAGGGTCAGGTTGGCCATCGCGGGAGGCTTGTCCCACATATGCAGCGGAGCTGGAGGATGAGGATGGGCCATGCCTCCCACGACAGCCAACCTGACCCTGGGTGAACCGGTTGTTAAATTATTTGAATCCCATCACTGCCATAGAGATATGGTTGCAGCTGATGTTTGCAGTGCCTTTTGTCCCCTTATATGGACTAACAGAAAGAGATAATTAACTATGAAGTTGGTCAGCCATTAAATATGGCTACCAAGGAGCCTTGGTAGTACAGTGGTTTAAAGCACCCTGTTATTAACACAGCTGCCTGCAATTACTGCAGGTTCGAATCTTACCAGGCTCAAGGTTGACTCAGCCTTCCATCCTTTCTAAGGTAGGTTAAATGAGGACCCAGTTTGTGGCGGCAATGAGCTGACTTTGTATAAATATACAAAAGTATGAAGGCTATTGCTTAATGCATTGTAAGCCGACCTGAGTCTCTGGAGAAGGGCGGCATATAAATCAAATTTTTTTAAAAAAATATGCTGTTATATCCCTGATGCTTGCTCCTATAAACAGTACTTCCTGGGCCACTTAACATACATTTGGTTGAATAGCAGTGCACTCTCATACCCACAGAGTAAGCGCATATTCTCATGTATTTTAGAGAACCATAATCTATCTCTTGTTTCTTAATTTTTATCAATCAATCCTGAAAGATTCAGGCTTTGTTTTTCTTTTCTGACAGAGCCTCAAAACTACCAGCAATACAGAGTGTTTTTACATTTATGTCTTTATATGTATTTGAATTTATTAGTCACCCAGCTCCAATAGACTTCTTCTATGTCTCTAGCCTCTACTTCCAAATTTTGTCCATTGCTCTTTTATTTACTTTTGTCCATGTCTCATTAATGATGGCATCATTACACATATTAAATATTTAAAAAAATAATTTGCTCTGTTTGAAGATAATAAGTATCCATACTCTTTTATAAAAATAGAGCATTATCCTCCAAATGGACAGTTAGTTTTATTGAAGTTTTTCATATCATATCCTATCATACATAAAACAAGGTGTGGGAACTTACTGTACCAGATTTTCCCCCCCCCACCCTTTTCAAACAATTACAAATCCACACTGTATCAGATTAGTTTCAGGCAATCCCCCCTCGCCAAATATGTTATAAACATTGCAGTTCATGACTGGGGGGTTTAGGATTGTGATATAAATGGATGTGTAACATCAAGGCTCTGCTCCCTTTTTCATATTTTTTCTGCCATTTCAATTGACTGGAATTGAAAAGTGCCTAAAAATATATACTGTCTTCAATAAAATAGAATTTATAACCATCTTACTGCTACACTATAATTAGGATGCATTAAGTGTCATTCCCAGCAGTGAATGAATGTATGTATGCTCATATAAACGTTTAAATGCATCTCATATTGAAAAAAATAGTAATAAACAAGATCCAAGTAAAAAAAAATATTTCAGCCGTGCATTAAAATTGACTTATCTTTCATATAACTGAAAACTTCCTGGCGTTGATAGACATGACTAAAAGCATTTTAAGTATTTAAAGATATTTCAGTTCCACATATTTCACCACATCATGTGGTGAATGCATCAATTGAAGACTCTTAAGCTCATGAAGGATTTAGATTTTCAGACTCATAATAAAAGAAAATACTGCTGAATCGATAAATGAAATCTTCATGATGATTCTAATTTATAGGATTAATACTGCTAATTATGGACCTTGCCTATAGAAGTTGTGAATGCTTTAACACTGGAAGTTTTTAAAAAGATATTGGATAACCATTTGTCTGAAGTGGTGTAGAGTTTCCTGTCTAAACAGGGGGTTGGACTAGAAGACCTCCAATGTCCCTTCTAACTCTGTTATTCTGTTTCTGCCTCTCAGTCCTGCTTTATGCTGAGAAGTAAGTGGGTACTGTTAGAATCAATCCTTTTTGCTGTTGCAAATACTATATGTTAAAAGATAAATCTTTTATCTTTAAGACACTCCGAAATATTTTTTTTCTTTTTATTATGTCATTATAAATTTTGATACCTTATATTGTTTCAATATGGTGATGTTTATATAACACAATGAAATGATTAATGTTCTATTATATTATAACTTAAAGTATTGTGAACAGAGAAAAAGTATTCTATCAATAGCATAGAATTACAATGTACTCCATAATGTGAGCATAAATTACTGTTTTTTAAATCCAAAACTGGCTTTGAAGTAGAAAAAAAACAAAAGAAAAAAAAATAAGAACAGTTGGGTTTTTTATACATCTGCTAATAGGCAATATTTTCAAACATTTAGAACCCTTTAGAAGCCATACTGTAAATGATTATATTTGCCATTTTTTAATGTGGGAACCATTCTTGCATACATTTAGTTTAACTTAAATTATATTATGCTATATATTATGGTATGGCATGGCATGGTATGGTATGGTATTATTACATTACATTGTACTGTGAATTATACAGAGTATGTAGGTCATTATACATTCTCCCAATTGCCAGGGAGGACAGATGACTTTTATGTAGGCTTTCTCCTCCAAGACTCAAATCCGGCTACCACGTGTGCAGTGGCAAAATTCTGTGTCTCTGTAATGTCCACAAGAAAAAAAATGGTTACCGAATTATAATGACAACTGGTGCTAATTTTTTTTGAGATATCTATAACAATACATTTACTCACATACTTATCGGCTCTACATGCATGTAAATTAGGTTTAAGATCAGGTATTTTCATAACAGAGATGTTATTATTTACGATTAATGTTAGTACTATTTTTAAATTTATTGTATGTCTATTGCTGGCCGTAATAAAATTTTATTCTATTCTTCTATTCATTCCAATCCATTCCATTCCATTCCCATTCCATTCCATTCCATTCCATTCCATTCCATTACATTACATTACATTACATTACTCTATACTGTTTTTCAATTGCTGGATATTCTCCAAATTTAAATTCTTAATTACATATTATTGGAATTGAAAGTAAGATTGGCAAGTATTTGATTATTTAGAATGGAGAAAGCTATTTAAATTTTTGCAGTTAAATGTCAGGTAGAATTTTAGGAATCAACAAACCTGTAGCATAATTATTCTTCATTTAAATACCTCTGTGTGTGTGTGTGTGTGTGTGTGTGTGTGTGTGTGTGTGTGTGTGTCCTGCCTAGAACATATCAGTTGTGAAAACTGAAAAATTTAAAGGGACTGAATTAAAGCCAATTTTTTGGGGCAAATAGCTTCAGTTGAAATTATGATTTTGGCTTCATTACAGTTTCCTCCAGTTATTCCCTTAGATATCCAAATTACATTCTGGCAGTGTTAAAATGGTTTATTAATTAGAACACATATTTTAAAATTTCAGTCTGGAGCATAGGAAAATATAGGGAGGGACTAGTTCCCAGGCTGATTAAAATTCAGGAGATCTCATGACATGTTTCTGTAACATATAAGTTTTGGGGTGAAGAGACCCACTTCCCTGCCAAATCACGAGATGATTTTTAGAGGGGGAAAAAATCAGAACGCCTTCACCCTAATATGCATGAAGATATTTCATTTATAAATGGAAAACAGTTGCCTTTCTGGATTCTTGTAATTCCATTCTATTTTCTCAACAGATCTTCTAAAGAGAACTCTGTGGAATCGTTATTGGAAAAGAATATTTTTTTAGTTTGAGACTGCTGCTAAAGAATTTGAGGTGAGGTGATCTCCAGCACCCCAACCCCTCAATCTCTATTGGGCCATCTACCATATTTGAAATATGTAACATGTTGTGAGAGATGTCCATGTGGTCTTAATGGTCCATGTGGTCTTTTAAGATTTGGATCTCATTAAATATGATAAAACACTAATTATAGAGGTGCTATAAACTAGACTTCAGGATATGTTCATATATATAAAATATGCTGATTTATGTCTTGTTTGGTGACCAAAGAAAAGACTGTCAGATAATTAACTAAGGATTAGGTTATTACATGGATATAAAGGTTTAATTTGATTTTTGGCTATATATGGATGATTATTTTGTTTCTAAACTTTAAAAAGAAATGTCATAGTGTTTGATCACAGATCTCTCACAACCAAGTGAATATACAGAGATCATGGAATCTGAGGTAAATCTCAATAATAATTGACTCCAAATATTTAAAAGAACTAAGAAAACAAGTTCTGATAATACAACATTATGCACTGAATCACCGTTTATCTTATTTTATACTTAAAATTCAGTGTATGGTCCTCAGACACCTATCATGTTTTGAAAAAGTGCTTATTGGAATATAGCTACTTTTTCTTGACTATTTTTTTCTTCCTCTGACTGAAAATATTTAGAAGAAAGAAGAAAAAAACCTATCAATTAAGTGTTATTCTGAAGAGGAATCCATCTTCTAAAAGATTTGTGGTGGTGCAATGGTTAGAATGCAGTATTGCAGGCTAATTCTGCCCATAGTGAGGAGTTCGATCCTGATCAGATCAAGGTTGACTCAGTCACCAATCCTTCTGAAGTTGGTAAAATAAGGACTCAGATTGTTGGGGGCAATATGTTGACATTTTTAAACTTCTCAGAGAGTGCTATAAAGAACTTCTTTGTCTTATTCCCACAGTATGGCAGGCCCTGCCTTTTTTTTAATGACCCCATAATCCCTTGTATCGGGGTGGAGCCGGGGCAACTGAATGGAGCTGAGCATTTACTGGCCAGATTCCCTTCCTGACGCTTGCACAGAGTTCGCAGCAGATGTTTTGTCTCTGCACCCAAAGAGAAAAATATCTAGGATCCTGATTGTGAGGCAGAGCTCCACTGCTAGGCCACCACACCATCCAGAGTGCTATAAAGCATTATGGAGTAGTATATGCTAGATTTACAAATGTGCAAAATGCAGATTCCTTAATAATATCTGGCATATTTTCTTTGTGATTCAGTCTCTTTAGCAATAGCAATAGCACTTAGACTTATATACCGCTTCATAGTGCTTTGCAGCATTCTCTAAGCAGTTTACAGAGTCAGCAGATTGCCCCAAACAGGCTGGTCCTCATTTTACTCATATATCCCTCCATCCGTCCATCCCTTCCTCCATTTCTCTCTCTCCACCTCAGCTCCTTTAGGCCTTAGAAAGCCAGAAAAAATATTGGAAAAAGGCCAAAATTCAACTATTTAGAATGACTGAATACACGTTTTAAACAAAATGAATGAATATCAGACTCATCAAACCAACATATTGCATTGTGCCAAATGGGTTATTTAAATTAGATGTTTCTTCTACTACTAAAATAATTTAATACTCATCTGTTCATACAGCCATGAAATCCTGTTGCTTTTCATTCTTTTTTTAATAAACCATTTCGAAATTGAAGCTATGCATTGAAAAACAGTCACCACATAGCTATATACGGGGAACATTGGTATGGATTTGCATATGCAACCCAATATTTAGATCTTCTATTTTTTTTAGTAATGAAAAGCATAGGAAAGGGATTCTTTGTCAAGATTAAGTTTTGACATACATATATATATTGTCGTGAATGCGACTGCTTGAGGGATCCTGGATTGGAGCTGAAAGATGAAAAGGAAGCAGTATGCTCTCTCCCATATTGGGTAGACCAGGTGCTTCGACAGAAGAACACTGTTTACACACACACACACACACATATATATCTGCAATAGGGAAGCAGTGGCTCAGTGGCTAAGACGCTGAGCTTGTCGATCGAAAGGTCGGCAGTTCAGTGGTTCAAATCCCTAGCTCCCATTACTTGTCCCAGCTTCTGTGAACCTAGCAGTTCGGAAGCACGTAGAAAAATAGGGACCACCTTTGGTGAGAAGGTAACACCATGCACCTTTGGCATTTAGTCATGCCGGCCACATTACCACGGAGACGTCTTCGGACAGCACTGGCTCTTTGGCTTTGAAACAGAGATGATCACCACCCCCAAGAGTTGGGAATGACTAGCACATATGTGCGAGGCGAACCTTTACCTTTACCTATATATATGTGCAATATTTTATGGTAAAAATGGTGTAATGCACCTAGAATTAGGTAGCCATTCCACATTCAGCTGTTGAACAACTGTACTAGATCATGGCATAGGATCTGGTTACTTGAGGGACCACCTGTCTCCCACAGTATCTGCCATGCTAGTTTGATTTTTCAGGATTGGCATGCTTTGACTCCCTTTGATTAAGCAATGTTATTTTTCAGGACCCCAAAAATATGCTTTTTTTGTAGTAGTAGTAGTGTCTTCTGAAATGAGGTTCCTTCCAAGATTCTGTTGGCTCCCACTCAGCTGTTTAGAAAAGTCATGAAAATCTGTCTCTTCACCCAGACCTTTGGGGAGGAAGAATGCTTTATTCCATGTATTCTGTCATTCTTGCCATCGTTGATCTTTCTTGTCTTCTTTTAAAATTGATTTTATTGTAAATTAAATCCATGATCACTGCACTTACTAAAAGTTCTTTTAATTTATCTGAACATATGCCAGGTTATTTTGAGTCTCATGTATTAACTGGTTCCCCTTTCTGTCAGATTGGATAGAAGATTATGAATATGCCTTTGTATGTAGCTGTAAATATTTGATATTTAATTTTTCTTTTAGTCTCCCCATAGGGATTCACATTTAGCCACTCCTTTGTTTCCTGTCATATTGGAAATTACATTTTTCATAGTAGGCCCTCAACACTTCAAGACATGTGTATTAATCTGTCAGGCAGTATGATGTTTGATGCCACAGCCTTCCCATCTGTAATGCAACACATGTCTCCCTTTGGGGAGAAATCTAAGCAAAGCTACCCACCTCTCACACATGTATTTTCCAGTTGTCTTCGTAGTCAGGAGCAGAGAACAATTCCCGTGAAGAGAAAAAATGCCAGAGCAGCTTGTGAGAGCATAGGGGCAATTGAAGGAGAAGGCATTTTAAGGATTACCCAGAACAGACAACTCAGTCTAAGTGTGAGGGACATGGGCAGTGGTGGGATTCAGCCAGTTCGTACCCATTCGCGTGAATCAGTTGTTAAATTACCCCCACTATCAAAGTGGATCATGGGCACTGTGCTGCACTGCAATGGAGAAACAGGCAATGGAGCGGCCAGCACAAGGGAAGGAAAAGGTCATTTCTCCTCTTTCTTCTCCCTGCTCCTCCTCCTCCCCCCGTGCTGGCCACTCTGTTGCCTGTTTCTCCATTGCAGTGTAGTGCAGCATACAGGATCCACTTTGATAACAGGGGAGGGATAATTTAACAACCAGTTTGCCTAGGCTCAGGTCGGGCCACACCTCCCAAGACAGCCAACCTGACCCTGGGCAAACCTGTTGTTAAATTATTTGAATCCCACCACTGGACATGGGACAAAAGCATTTGAAAGAAATTTGTCTTTAATTAACTCAATATAACTGAAACTGGAAATGCACTCTTACATTTTTAAAGAATTGGATTTACTCCAGACTAGCATGGAGTTTGGAAATATACCTTCCTAAAATCCATGTCATCCTTCCCAGCTAATGGGGCTTGACACTACCCTAACGGCTATCAAGAACTCCAACGGTGATCCACCAAGAAAGAGAAAAATAGAGATGGTATATAAACATTTTAGTAGAATAATTTTCCATAAATAATATCAGAATGCAGTTGCTTGTGTCTAGCCCTGAACCCCATGACAATTCACCCGACCCTATGGAATGAACTGCCCCCAGACATACGAAGGATCCCCGACCTCCGTGGCTTCCGTCGCGCTCTGAAGACCCTATTATTCCAGCAAGCTGGACTGACAGGATAAAGATTTTTTGAGTATCAGCTCAAATCTCAAAAATAAAGACAACATGTTAGTCCTCCAAAGAGGAAGTGATATTCAGTGCTTGGGAAATCAGAAAGTTAATGGTCTGGAATGTCTTCGCTAGTATTTCCTTAGGAAATGTAACATGAATTTTTACAATACAAAATAATCATAATAGGAATTATACAGAAATATACTCTTCTACTTCAATATAACTAATTTGTAATCACAGAAGCAGATTTTTCTCTGGCGTGATGCTTCTCCATCCCCGGATAACATCATTCCAATCCTATTATTCTTTCTTTATCATACAATAAAAAGGAAAGATATAAAACACAGTTATCTGAATTTGTAGATGTTAATAGCAGTGAGCTATTAAAACTCCCTGGTGATTAGTCACTCTCTTTCAGATCTATTACTATATAAGCAAGTCCAGCTCTTGAGTAATTATTATTATCTATCAATTTATATCTTGATTTTCTTCCAGAAATTCAGGATAGCTTATAGCAGTGTTGGCAAATCTTTTTGGGGAACCATGCGCATACCAGGAAGCTGAGAAGATCAGGTCACCTGGTCTTCTGGTTTCTGATGCGCATGCGCTCATGAGTGTATGAAGCTCAGCTGGACAATGTACATTCATGCACCAGAAACTGGAAGCTCAGCTTCCCAGCACGCACATATGCACTGGGGAAGCTGCTCTTCTGGTTTCTAGAACTTTCATGTGTGTGAAGACCAGCATGTGCATGCCGGAACCCAGAAGAGCAATGGATGACGGCTGGCATGCCCAGAGAGATGACTCTGTGTGCCACTTCCACCACGTGTGCCGTAGGTTCCCCATCACAGGGTCATAGGAAGACTATCCTTCAATTTATTTTAGTAACAGCTCTGTGACAAAGACTGGAAGGAAAGAGAGTGACTTGGCCAAAGTTACCTGGTGAGTT